CTCGCTCGGCGGTCACAGATCTGTGTGCAACTGTTACGTGCCCTTGCGCGTCGCTGTCCCGTGCACCGGTACGCCCGCTTGCGCCCGCGGGCGCCCCTCCCCCTCCCGTGAGCTGCCCGGCGGCTGGAGCAGCCGCGCGGTCGAGGTCCTCCCCGAGGCCCGCCGCCCCCGCACACCTGGCCCACGTCCGTCCAGCGTGGCGGAGGGCGCCGGGGTCCATGCTCCGCTCCCGGCAACGCGCCGCTCCCACGCCGCTCGCCCTCGCCCTCGCCGTCGAGGAGGAGAAAAAGAGAGAGAGAGGAGGACGCACAGAGACGGTAGCGGTGCGCGTCCGGGTACGAGAACAGGCGCGACTGGAGGACCGGGTCGGCCGACGGCTCGACGCCCGGGATGAGGTGCGACGGGGAGAACGCGACCTGCTCGACCTCGGCGAAGTAGTTCTTGACGTCTGGAGAGGAAAAGGGAGGGAGGAAAAAAGGTCGGCTCAAGGCTGAGAGAGGGGACGAGAGGGACGGGAGGACGGCGAGGACGCACTCTCGTTGAGGGTGAGGACGCCGACCTTGCGCAGCGGGAACTCCTTGTGGCTCCAGATCTTGGTGAGGTCGAGGATGTTGTAGCGGAACTTCTCGGCCTGCTCGGGCGTCATGGTCTGGACGCAGAAGTCCCACGACGGGTGCTCGCCCTTCTCGATCGCCTCAAACAGGTCCTGGCCGGCGTAGTCCGGGTTCTCGCCGGCAATCTTGACCGACTCGTCCTGGGTGAGGAACTTGGTGCCCTGGCGCGACTGGTAGTGGAACTGGGCGTAGACGAACGAGCCGTCGGCCTTGACGAGCTTGTGCGTGTGGCCCGAGTAGCCGTGCATGAACCGGTAGCCGTCGGGCACGCCGCGGTCGCCAAACAGGATCATGACCTGGTGGAACGCCTCGGGCTCCTGCGACAGGTAGTCCCAGAAGTGGTCGGCGTCCTTGAGGTGCGTCTGCGGGTCGCGCTTCTGCGTGTGGATGAAGCGAGGGAACTTGGCCGGGTCCCTGAGGAAGAAGACGGGCGTGTTGTTCTGCGAGAGGAGGAGAAGGACGTGTCGGCGAGAGAGAGGGAGGCGAGAAGAGGCGAGGGAGGAGGCAGAAGGTCAGTGACAGGCTCGAGACGTCGCCCGAGGCTCTTCCGCCGGCCGTGCCGCGTTCGCAGAGAGAGGAGACGCACGTAGACGTGGTCCCAGATGCCCTGCTCGGTGCGGAGCTTGACCGAGAAGCCGCGAGGGTCGCGCGCCGTGTCGGCAGACCCGCTCTCGCCACCGACGGTCGAGAAGCGCGCCGTCGCGCTCACCTTGCCCTTCTTGCCGAGGAACTCGGCGCAGGTGAGGTCCGGGATCGGGTCGGTGACCTCGAAGGTGCCGTGGGCGCCGCTGCCCTTGGCGTGGACGACGCGCTCGGGGATGCGCTCGCGGTCAAAGTGGGCGAGCATGTCGATGTGCGCAAAGTCCTGGAGGAGGAGCGGGCCGTTCCTGCCGGCACGCTGGTGCGCGTACGGCTCGGGAACCGGGTGACCCTGGCTCGTGGTAAAGACGGCGCCGTCGGGCTGCGAGTGGAGGGGGGAGAGGCGGGGATGGGTCAGCTTTGTCGAAACGCATCTGTACGTGCGCGACGCATGCCGGCACGAGAGAGAAGGCGGGCTCACCTTGCTGAGGACTTCCTGGGACGGCATGCTGTAGTCGGGGAGGGAGAGGGGAGGGGAGGAAGAGGTCAGCAAGGCCGATCCTCGAGACCGGGCGACGAGTGGCGTGCGGCCCGTCCTGCTTGCCCGCCACTCCTCTGAGCCACCTGCGTCCAGCGAATGCCCTCGCAGACCCGCCTGGCCGCCAGAGGGACGCCACTCGAAACGCGAGGCAGATGATCGGACAGACTGGCCGCGAGCGGGGCAGGGGTTGTGCGCGCTGCAGGGCGAGGGACACACAGTGAGGGGTATGGCTCACGTGTAGAGTGCTGTGTGTGCTGGGTAGTCGAGTGAGAGGCGACTGGTGGAGGAGGGAGAGCGAGAGCTGGACGAGGCCGACGGGACACTCGGCCGCGACTGCGGTGCCGGCCTCTCTGACAAAACCAGATCTGAGCCACTTGTGATTCGAAGATCAAGCTGCACGTGACCAGATGACCGCGATCGCCAGTACTCGACCGGTCGCTCTGGTGCGAGTGCGCACGGTGCTCGAGCCTCGTCTTCCGCGTCCGGGTCGATGCTCTCTCGACGTCTCCCGGGCTCGACCAGCGCTCGAGCAGCGTCGAAAGGGACCGCGTCATCCGACAAGCTCTCCAGCGTGACCGGTGTGGGGACAGAAAGATCGTCGAGCGGCGAGTCCGAGGCCTCGCGGACGGGCGATGGCGGCGAGCAGAGCGCGTGAGCCTGCGGCCGGTCGTGGCGCACCGCCGCAAGCTAGAACTGTAAACGAGCAGGCGAGGGACGACGGAAAGCGCCTTCTTGGTGAACGTCGAGGCAACCCGTCGCACGAACCCCCCGCCCTGACTAAGTTACGTCGAAGGCTCTGCCGGCTCTCCTGCAGGGGCAGAAGCTCTGAGAGCGCGAGCCTCTCAATGAACTGCACACGCTAGTGACAGAGCTCGTCGAGCGCAGGCGGTCGTCTCGAGGCTCGGCCGGCGCAGGTCGACCTTCGCAAGTCGGGCGCTCGAGCCCCTCGTCGCCCAGGCGGCTCTCTCCTCACGACGAGTCGTCGGCCCCACCTGGAGCAATAGCGAGTGACTGCAGGGGGCTAGTAAATGTTAGCCGAAGTGCAGCGTGCGGGGCCGACCAGCGAGCAAGTGACGACACGGGTCGAAACGTCGAGACGATCCTCGACCTCTTTCTCTCTCTCTCTCTCCCTCTCCTCACACCACCCTTCTCTACACTTCTACTGTGAGCTACGAGTTCCACACTGCTCGCGAACACACGCTGACATCCTCTCGTGCAGCTCCAACATGATCCCGACCAAGGCCGACCGCCAGACCGACGACGGCTCGGAGCCCGTCATTGTGGGCTCCGGCGGCGCGCTCTCGACCGGGAGCGGCGCGAGCGCAAACGCGACGGAGACGCTGCCGGCTGGCGACAACGGCGGCCGCGCCGCGCACGCAAACCAGCAGCAGCCCGAGGGTCAGTTCCCGAGTGAGCTCACTTCCTCGTCCTCCTGCGTCGCCCAGAGGCCCACAAGCTGACACGCCTCTTCGCCGTTGCAGAGCAGGTCAAGCCCGAGCAGGCTCAGCCGACCGGCAACGTCGGCGGCGGCGGCGAGGGCCTGAAGAACCACCAGGCGTGAGGCGTGCCTTGGCCTGACCTTGTACAGACGACGCAACCAAGCAGTGACCCGCATCCGTCCTTCTGAGCGATCGCGAGAGACAAGGCAGCCGCCTGAGCCATCGCGAGAGCAGAAGCGAGAGAGCGAGTGCGAGCGAGCCGGGAGCGCCGCGCGAGGAGGAGCAGGAGATCCGGCGGCCTCGGCATCGCTGGCGAGGACCACCGGGCGGCGGCAGGGGCTCGGCTGTGCTCTGTACGCAGCGGAGCGTGATACGAGAGCCTGGTCGAGTGAGCGGTGGACGAGAGAGAGAGACGCGCCGAGGAGCACGCGCCTTGGCAACTTGTTGCTCGCCCCGCCTCACTCTGCTCGACCACGCTCTGCGGCCACCTGCTGTGCCGACACGCCCTGCATCACTTTGCCAGCACCCGGTCCCACCGTCCTCGCCCCGACACGGCTCGCCGCGCTGCGATGGTCGCCTCCTCCCTCCACCGCCTCGGCGTCGCGCTCCTCGCAGCAACAGCACTGTGCGTCGCCTGCTTCCTCCACTGTCCTCGGCCTCGTTGTGCGACCCTGTCAGAACTCCGGATCCGACTGCAGGCGCGTCGAGAGCCGTCGGCGAGGGCCCTCGTTCGCGCAGGTTCATTGAGACGCGCGAGCCCGAGCGAGCGGCTCGAGCAGGGGCAGGGACGCACAGGGCAGGGCAGGAGGGACGAGCAGACACGCTCAGATGGCGCAGCTGTGCCAGTGAGCACACCGAGCTGACCCTCTGTCGCCGACACAGCCTCCTCCCCGTCGCCTCGGCGCAGACGGCCTGCAACGGCCACCAGGAGTTCTGCTCGCGGTCCTACTCGAACGTGTCGATCGTCGGCACGCACAACAGCTATGGCGTCCGCGCAGGCAGCAGTGCGTCCCTCTCTCGCTCCCTCGCTCCGTCCGCTTCAACTCGGCCCCTGACCTCGCGCTCGCCGCACCCTGCAGTCGCCGCCAACCAGAACTACACGATCGAGACGCAGCTCGACGACGGCATTCGGCTGCTGCAGGTCCAGGGCCACATGAACGGCGACGAGCTCCACCTCTGCCACACTCTGTGCGTCCTCCTTCCGTCTCCTCTCCCTCTAGGGTCCAGCTCACCTGCTCTCTCTACGCGCGCAGCTGCCTGCTTCTCGACGGCGGCACATTCACGTCGTACCTGTCGACGGTCAAGACGTGGCTCGACGCCAACCCGAACGAGGTCGTGACGATCCTCATGGTCAACTCGGACGGCATCTCGCCGAGCGTGTGGGCCCAGTCGTACGAGGACTCGGGCATCAAGTCGCTCGTGTACACGCCGCCGAGCACGCCCGTCGCGTACGACGCGTGGCCGACCTACCAGGAGCTCATCTCGGCCGGCACGAGGGTCGTCAGCTTCCTCGCCCAGAACGCCGACACGTCGGCCGTGCCGTACCTCCTCGACGAGTTCACCAACGTGTGGGAGACGCCTTACGGCGTACGTCCCTATCTCTCTTTACCGCGAAGAAGCTCGGGCAGGAACCTGACGTGTTCTTGGCGCACCCCGAGCAGCAAACCGACAACAGCTTCCCCTGCAACGTCGACCGCGTCACGGGCTCGGCCGACAACAAAATGGTGCGTCCCTCTTGATCTTCCTCTCTCTCTCTGTGCGCCTTCTGGCGCCTGAGACTAACGCTGCCGCTCGTTCGTCGCAGTACCTCGTCAACCACTACCTCGACGTCAACACGACCATCTTTGGCCAGACGGTGCCCGTCCCGGCGACGGCCGCGCTCGAGGAGACAAACGCGCTCACGGGCACGGGCTCGCTCGGTGCCCAGGCGAGCACGTGCCTCGCCGAGCACGGCTTCTACCCGACGTTTACGCTCGTCGACTACTACGACATCGGCAACGGCTCGGTCTTTGGTGCGTCGCCAGCTTCGCCTATCCGTGTGTGTGAGCGTGACTGACTCGCTCGACGGACCCGCAGAGTACGCTGCGCAGCTGAACGGCGTCAACTACGTCCCGGTCGAGATCGGCAACGGCACCACCACCACCTCGTCCTCCTCTGGCGGCTCGTCGAGCTCTGGAGGCTCGTCGAAGGGCGGCACGTCTGCGTCGGCCGACTCGGGTGCGGCGGCAACGACGTCGCGAGCTGGACTTGCGGCGGTCGGTGCGCTCGGCGTCTTGTCGGCCGTGCTGGCCCTTTGAGATTCCCCTGCGTCATAGACACTCCTCTCGCCGTCTCTTCTGGTGCGCTCGCAATGCACTCTCGTTCATAGTCTGCTGCAGGCGGCGAGAGACGAGAGGACGATTGTGGTCGACCCGGCGAGGTCAAGTCCGGCTTCGGCCGCTCTCCGAGGCTAGCGGATCCCGTCTCCTCCCCCTCCCCTCCCTCGCCCTCTCGACCACCCGAGGACTATCCGCCTCGACAGGGACACCCGCATCAGCAGGCCTCATCCCCTCGCACCCCTCACGCCGCGCCCTGCCGCCTCGCCGCCCTCA